TGCATTTATGTATCAGCCAGAGACTCTGCATTCCTGTATTTACAGTATGTGCCATTATGAATGTTTAGCATCTTGACTCGCATACTAACTTATATAGGTCATTGGAAACTTTCTGAAGTACAAAATAAGAAATGTTCAAAGGACAAAGCTTTAGTAGGTAAAACCAAAAGATTATCACAACGTTATTGATTCAGCGGTGTGTCAGTCATAACAAAGTGTAGACAAATGTTCAAACCCACATCATTTTGATGCTAGGATAGACACAAAAGATTACATATTTATAAGAAAAGCTGAAAGCTAAATGTTAATGTGTTTAACTGGCAATTTAAGAGGCATGGTTTCGTCAGTCACATAGTCATATGTTTAGAGGTGGCTATTAAATATATTTATTAAGATAATACTTTTGCCAAGCCTAAACATATTGAGCAATTTTTAAAAGTCATAATGATCCCCCTATTAATAACTTTTCAAGTTTTAAATATATACTTTAGAAACAGTTGAGAGGGTCTCACAACATTGTGACTTTTTTTGTATCCCCTCATCCCATAAATCATTTTATTATTGATGGATGAGGGGATAAAAAAATATTCATCAATAATTCTCAGATTTGTTTAATTTGAAATAGGCCTACTCGGCACACATCGTGGTTGTAAGCTAATCTTTCGGCTCTCAATTAAACACTATCTTAAACTGCTTATAACTTCACATTAAGGCCAGAAACCACTAGTTTTTAGTATCTGAATACTGTTGTTCCAGCAGACCTCGCTAGATGTCGCTGCTCCTCCGTGTGTCGCTGCCGCTGATAAGGTGGAGGTGCTGCGCCTCCTTCATTGTTTGAGTGGAAGGCACCGGCAGAGGATCTGCCACTCGCTTCAATGTAATCCCGTCTTTCCCCGGCTCACTCTCTCAGTCGTCCGCCATGGCGACCGCAGAAAGCCTCTCCGGTCCAAGCGGCTGCTAGAAACTTACCCAGGCTTCATTTTTCAGCCTCTACCGCTGGACGTGGATGTTATATCTCCTTTCGGCTGGGAAATACATACGTGTGGACAAGCCCGCATTTGGAGAGAAGCGGTAAGAACCGTGCAAAGAGTCCTCACCCTGGTTGCTCTTAAGGGAAGTGATTCAACTTGTTTGATGAGATTAGGGTTAAGTCCTGGGAGTATCTTTGCCGTGTTGTTTTGTGATCCTGTGGATTTCGAGGGAGGCAAATAACTACCACTGTTAGTAAAAAATGTCATGTGCTGCCAGTAACTGTCCTGGTTGTCCTCCAGTGTGTTTGCAGATATACCTTAGTTGTATGGATGTGTGCAGACGCCGCAGTCTCTGTAATGCTTCATGCCTCTGAGTGACATTTTAATGATCAGGAACTGAGCATTTTGAATCTGTCATCTATCTAAGGTGTCCAGGTGAGCCCAGGCTTTGCATTAATGTTACATACTGTACTGGCTGATAATGTCAAGAGGATTACAGCAGCCTGCTCTATTAACCTACATTATAGTTATGGTGTGAACACACTACCAGACAGTGTCAGGTGGAAAAAAACCCTCATGAGTGCCTGACTTCACAATTTTCTGCACTATATTCTCAATTATCATTCATGATTGTTCTAGGAAAGGCTTGGATGTCAGCCAAGCACTGGTTACAACATGCATGTTCTCAGGTAGTTGTCATTATGTTCACTTAACCAACACATAACCTTGCCAATAATACAGTGGGAACTTATTCAGGCAATGCCAGCCACACCCAGGTATCAGTGACTGTTGCAAAACACAGAAGAAATTGTGCTGTTTTTTGTTGTGGGCCTTTCCTCAGGTAGAAATCTGGCTTTATCAGCAACGCCTCTGGCCATCCAGCTGTCACTAAAGGATTCCAGCTGTGCAGTGTTGGACTGCACTGAGGGGGCCCCTGTGCCCCTACACACAGAGGAGCACTGTTATAACCCCGGAGACTCTGAGCCAGCAGTCACAGCTCCATGTTACACAGTTGTGGGGAATTTAAGGCAAACAAGTTCAAAGGCAGGGTGGGAAACACTCAGGGGTCAATGTCCCTGTGGCACTGGGTCCTGGGAGGCTATGCTTTATGTCACACTGTGGCCCCTGAAACAAGGTGCTTTCAGTTCAAATTGGGACTGTTTTGTGTGTTTGTTTGGACCTGTTTGGAGTTATCCATTCATAGTAACACATACTCTAAAGACTGGTTGATAAATGATCCCTGTTGGCCGAAATAATCACTGTCTACTCTTTCACTGCCCTCTGTCTCACTGGTGCTTTGTTTAAAGAGTGTCTGGTTACACGGCATGCATGCGCAGGTCATATAAGACATGAATTTGCAGACTTGGCATGAGACACTTGCCGATAATCAAAGCAAAGGCCTCTGAGTGATGACGGTGGGAGGATCAAATGTCAGAAATGACTGGGCTTCAATTGAAAAATGTGCCATTCATGCTCCTGATGACAGCATTTGGTCTGTTTTCCATCAGCCCTAGGGAGTGTTAGTCTGCTGATGACTGTACGGCAGGTGGGAATAATGAGACATTGCTCTTGTAACTCCTTTGCCCTTATGGTTGAGGATTCTTAGCTATGAATCAAATTTAAATCTTCCTTGCTTTCAGCGTCAGTAACCAAAGTTACATAAAAGTTCTAGGTAAGGACTGAAACTCAAACATGACATTTCAATGATAAAAAACTACACATGTAATGTTAAGTTTCATTATTAATGGATCTTAAAAAGGACTTAATGACAGATTAGTATTCAACAGAGTTTAATTCATTTGTGTATTTTGGAACCAGCTGAACAGAGCGTTTATCGCTAGTGCTGAACAACAGAAAATGTACTTAATAAATTCTAAAAATGGTTTAGTCGTTTAGTTCATTAACCTGTATTGGCTGTTTCCATCTTCCCAAATGGGAAGGTTTGCTTTTTTACACACTGGAAATGTAATATCTTTAATGTACTGTTGGTCAGACAATACAATTTAAAGATGTCTGCTTGAGCTCTAGGAATTTGTGACCGTCGACTCATCTGTACCATTGGTTAATTATTGACCAACTGATTAAAGGTAGGGTAGGTAAGAATGGAAGAAACCAGCTCGAGATCGCTAGAATTTGAAAATACACAGCCGGATAAAATCTGCCACTTCCTTACAGAGCCCCTCCTCCAACACACACGAACGCGCACATGACCAATGAGGGCACGAGATAAGTTTGTGCACAGATGGAAGGTTGACAGGCAGGTAGGCCATCCAGTTATTTTAGCCGGGCCGGCTCAGATGATTGGTCGTGCTTTTTACAGCGCCACGGCTTCCACAGATGACATTTTTTTATATATTTATTGTCCAAGCATTTAATGTATTCATTGCTATCGGGATGTTAAGAGCATTCCATGGAATATAACAAAAAGTGTTTCTGAAGTGAATTACCTACCCCACCTTTAATCATTCAATTATAAAAATAAGTGACATTTTAATCCATAATGAAAATAATCATTAGTTGCAGCCCTACTTGTCAGCCTTGACGCATCTTACCTCATTCATCACATCTACTGGACTGGAAAAGTCTTTGGTGTCTCTCCTAAGCATCAGACAGACCATCATCGGACAGAATTTAGTGCCCACTGTCCTTGGCCTATTTTCTCCATGCACTCTGCTGGATTACATTATCCACTCCTTTTTCAAATGCCTTATTCAGCTTTCAGCTTAAACTTGGCAGCAGTCATTCACCTCTGCGGCGGCTGAGCAACTGCCCACTGGCCTCGATGCTCCGATGAAGCACTAAGTTAGGTCTCAGGATGACATCAGCCTGCTGGAATGTGCAATGAAGAGAGCATTAAGCTGGGCAGCAGGGCCTCGGGGGATCTGTGGATACATGAGGGGGGGATAGCAGACACTCTGGTGTCAACCAAGAGTGAATGAGTCCACAACTTTGTCCAAACACAGTCCTCAACCTGAAACACAGTCCTCAACCTGATACAAAAACAGAGTCACACTCAGATGGGACCCTATATGGCTTAATGTGTTACGGAAGTTTACTTTTTCTTGCCCAATCTTGTAGGATCGCCTCAAGGATTTACAACGGCATTTATTTAATCATTTATCCATTATCTTAAGCTAACTTTAACAGTCATATCACTATTGGGGCTATCTTCTAACCATATGATCCACTACTTTACATCAATTATTTCAACAGTATATCCATAAGTTATCTATCCATCTATTAATTTGGCTACTCTACCCTCTTTCAAAATACCCTGGAAACTGCAAAAGTACCCCCTGGTAGGAAATTGCTGCAGTAAGGGATGTGGGAAGTTGGCCGCTCTATGAAAGTCTTCACTGCATTTCTTTAAAAGTAACAAATCAATAATTGGACTTTATATAGTCATAACTGTAAAATATTTGGTTTCAATGTTTTTTACTCTGCTCTCTGATAACCAAAATCCACTGTTCATTCTGGTCACTTCTCCTACAGTGTCCTCATGTATTTTCCTGGATCCCCATGAGACCAATTAAAACCCAAGCAAGTTTATTTCTGTGTGTCTTTGGCTTTAAGGCCTTGCTTTTTTCGACTTCACCGATCACCCGTCATTGTATTTACTCTTTAATTTTTTACATTCTGGCCTCATGGTTCATTTGTCAAATCAAATTAGGGTTACTTGATTTGCGCTTTGAAATCTAGAACATCCTCAGATATCTTTTCTTTTTTCGCAGTAATTGGCTCTCCCACAGGCGACAATTATCAGCTATTAGTGGCGAGTGTAAAAACTGCATTTGCAATTACTGTGTTAGTGTGACAATGAATATTTTGCAGCCTGGCCCTGATGCGTATACCTTTTTATATGATGCATTACATTTATTTCACCTGCTGCACCACAAAAGCTCTGTAAAAGGAGGTTACTTACTACTTTTTGTTACTCCTCAATCTGTGTTCATACCTTGTGTATTCAGGAGCAGAGAATGACTGCACGTACATGTGTTTCCTGACCCTCCTCTCTTTGCTTCTGTGCAGGCTGGGCAGTGAGCATTAACAGTTCAGCATGGCAGAGCCAGACCCAGAGCCAATGTCCTCGGGAACAGGACATCGTCTTGGAGCCCCGGAGACTCTTGGCATCAGTACACTGGACCCTGGGCACAGACCCCCCGCCATGCCCCCTGGGCGACTCGTCACCGTCAGGGTCCGCATGCTGGACGACACTGAGGAGCTCTTTGACATCTCGGTGAGTAGTTAAAGCCGTCTCACTCAGGCGCATTTCTTGATGTGAATACTAATGTCGGATTGGGACTCCTTATTCTTGCACAGTGCCCAAGAAGCATTTCCCGTTTTCATTATAGCAGCAGCCGTCTGAAAACCAGTTGGCATGGCAACTGCATGATGTTAAGTTGTTGAATGCAAAGATGAAACTGGAGGAATAATTTTAGTATATCAGGGTCCTCCAGTTTATTGTAGTGGTATTTATTCTCTGTTTCCTAATCTCTCAAACCCGTAATACAGCTGTTATCTATTATTAAACATTTTTTCCTCCACTTTGGGGGACCACAGACATTATTTTATTCCACAGTTCTGTCTCACATTGATGTGTTGAAGAAGTGTGAGGAATCCATGTGCTTGTTAAGATAATGTTATGAAGGCAGGAAGGAACACAAAAGAGAGTGCAACAGTTTTTTTTATGAATAAGAGGCCAGACTTCCATTTGAATTCCATTCATGATTTCTGGATTTAGAGGATAAGCTTCTCATTGCAGAGATCTGCATTTAGACATTAAAGTCTTAGCTATTTGCGCAGATCATCTAGAAGTTGAGCTTAAATCCGATACTAATTGTGAATGTCATATTATAAGCTAATAATACTTTAAATGCAAAATAAAGACACATTAAGGTCAACAAACTACATGTAAAAGGGTGGATGCAGATTATTCGAAAATGGAAATCTTCAGGAAAACTGAAACTATTCAGGAAATAGGTTTCATTCTTTATCATCTCAAAATGTTAGGCTTATTGTCAACAAATCCCATGAAATTACCAGAACTTGAGTGAATTTTAAGAAAAGCCTGACTGTGTAAAGCCTAGAGCCAGTGCACAATACTATGTGCTCCATCCTCCAAGTGATACACCACAGAAATGAGCCACACAGAGTGACCAAATGACATGTTCCTTCATTATGATGAACATGGGCTCTGTAGTTTATTTTTAGTCAGTCCCACATACAATGTCCTGCTGCCTTAAATACACACAAGTTCACCATTGGAATTCACACATGAAATTAGTCCTAAATATATACACCATTTACTCCTGTTTTGTCAATATTTTCTGAAAACTACAGTGACTAGCCGCAGTTAATGAGCCTTATAAGAAAATAAAAGTATATGTTCTTTCATTTTAAAGATTTACGTCCTTGAGAACTGATGGGGTTGGGCCTGAATGAGGGTAGTCCGGTTGTTCAGAACATATTGAAATACTTACTAATGGTTGGTTGTAAAGTTTGTGGGATTTGTTGAAAAGAAGAATAACACCAGCATTATCCTTGAAGGCAATGACACACAGCAATGACACACGGCCCTTCTTCCTCCAGCATTCCTCTGAACTTGTGGTGTTTTGGGAAGGTGTTCTCAGACCTTGAATCAATGGCAGAAACACTGGGTGGAGGAAGTGAAAAGACCGTTATTTGTCTTAGAATAGATTGAACAAGCCCCATTCTGTGACCACAGTCCTTCCCGCCTGGAAGAGAAGAACGAGATGAGTAGATAGAGGAAAATGAAAAGTGGTGATGGAGGGAAACAGATACAGCAGCCACAGAGGACTCATTTAATGTGTATGAATGGGGCTGGGCAGGCACTAAAGCTGAGCTGAGCTTTCCTGAGTGAGCGTGCGGTGCAGGGTGGATGTGTCCTTCTGGCTGCTTCCCAAGGTAGTATGGGTAAATGTTGCTCCTAAGGCAGGCGGCGGAGCTCCCTGTGCATGACTGCTAATCTTTCTAGAGGTGTTGTACTTAATACTTAAGGCTCAATAGATTCTCACCGTGAGGTCCTGTTTGATTTCCCTCATTTAACCCACATTGCTTTTTGTGTACTATGGGTTAAGTGAGGCATTAAAGCCGTGATTGTTTTTGTTTTACAAGACAAGGTTCTTGATGTCCTCACTCACTCTCACTTTCTCTTATATTGGAATATATGCTGGATCTGGTACGTTTGCCTAAACTTACCTTTTTTAATAGGGAATATCATCAAGCCTAGGATGCCTGGACCTGATAAAAGAGGAACCGGTGAGGAAGGGATTTTATTCAGCCGGCTTTAGGGCTCGTAATCTGTAAAAACCTGCAATGAAACTCTACTCTCTGAGGCTCTCTGAGGAGATATTAACCTAAGAGCATACAGTAGATTTTTATGGAGTTTAGATGCCACAAAGACTTAAGATTAAGACGGCTCTACCCTCCAACAAATCAACACACTGATGGTTGGTCATTTTTCATATGATAAATGTCAGATCTGTATTTATGGCATGTTTATTTTGTTTTCTGACTTGCTGTCAGATTTCAAGCAGTTTGAACTACAGCACTGTCTCTAGAATGAAAAAGCAGTAGTGAAATAAATCTTGTGAGTTTTGTGAGACCAGAGCTGCATTGAAGGGATAACTCATACATAGCCGGGGCTTTTCCACTTTATTGGCCTTCTCGTGGACTTATCATGGTGGCCATGAAGGTATAGTTGAGCTGTGGTGATGGTGAACTAGAAACAGCTTTTGTCACTGCAGCACACAGGCTGGACAGAAGAAGGCTGAAGGTGCTGCTCAGGAGACGGGAACAAAAGGCTCAGGCGAACACAAAGCTTTATTCATGCTCAATTTAACACACATTATGTCCACTGTCCCAAGTAAGCACTTGAAATACACATTGAAGTTGGTTTTGCCTAGAGGTGTGCGAGGAGTACATTTTCATCCGCTTAAAGTCGGAGTGGAAAGATCTGTTATCTTTTTGAAAAAAGAATGCAATAGATGAAACATGTTCTGCATTCAATTCAGTGTTGTTAAAGTTCAGTGTTTGAAGACAACATATTTTGTGTAGAGTTGATGGAGAAAAGCCCCATTGGAGCCCATAGATGCCTCGAAAGAATTTGTTCTGTCAAGGCTGTTAAACAGTTCCTTCCTTTGTGATTGCGTAAGCTAGATCCCAAAACTCTCCGTTTTCTTTTTCTGGTCCAGCTGAGACAGAGGCTACAGAAGACAGGCGTCAAATTAGCCCAGATCTCCCTGCTGATGTTAATCTATCCCCCGCAGCAGTGAAGTGAGAAGATAGCTGCACGGTCTACAAACTACATTTGTCAAGCAATTATCTACTCCTTTGTTTTCACAGCAGGAACCTACAGTAATGTTCGAGAAGAGGCCGTTCATCTTAGTTGATTTTATAGTCAGAAAGGCTCGAGGTTTGATTTTTCTGTCTATCCCTTTAAGACAAAAAGGTCTAACTTCACCCTGTAACTGATAGGGCAGGTTTCAGTTCCTGCTCCTCTGGTTCAGAGGGGTAAGTTTCCACCTCAGCGGGCAGAATATCAGATGGTTGAGTAACAAAAAGGGGCCATCGAGCCATCTCGTGGGTCACATACCATGCTGTGGCCTACTTAGCACTCTGGCCGTGAACACACTTGTTTTGATGCTGATGATGTCTGGCTGAGCGAACCTTGATAACGGTTGACTTGCATTGATTAATAAGCACACTGGGGTCAAAATAATGGCCCGGTTATGCCTTCTCTAAATTCCTATGGAATATGTTCTGATTCTGTCCATAATGCTCGTGCAGAGTTCAGCAGAGCAGGTTATCCAGACTGTATCCCTCTGTCTGTCTTGTAGTCCTCAGGCGTACATACAGTGACTCTGTCTGTACCCATGTTTTGACGCTTATGTTTGCTGATGGCTGGTAGAGGCTGTGCAGACGTTGCCTTTAAGGAGTGTGATTGTAGCTTGGATTGAGGGGTTGGGAGGTGGGGGATGGGATGATGAGCAGAGTGGGGAGAGAGAGAGAGAGAGAGGAGTCATGCTCATTCTTATGAATGAAGGAAACAGTCAGGCCCCATTAGCTGAACCTTACTGCTAGAATACCAACTAATACAACCCAACATGTGATGTCCTGTTTCCTATTTAAGACTGAAATTAGAAACTCAGAGACAACTCTATCTCTCTCTGTCATGTTGTTCTACTACTTCTGTTCTTTCTCTTAACCCTGTAAAGCCCACATATAGAAACACATTAGAATTTCTTTTTTGACCTTTCAGATGTTGTTGTAGGAAGCCTCTGGAGCAAAAATGAAAGAGTTTTCACATTTTGGTTAGTTTTTAGGGAAATGTTGTAATATTGCAACGTTGGGCTTAGGTGGGAGCAGCATTTCTGTATTTCTACTCGCATTGTCTGAATAAATATATTGTACAACTAAGGGTTGATTTGAAGGATTGATTGCTTACTTAGCCCTATATCAGTATATCATGAATACTAATCACACATCGGTCATATTTGTTATGAATAGTCATTTATTAAATATGAATACAATGGTAGTCCCAAAAACAGTTCCTATCGTCGGAAAAGCAGAGTCACACTTGGTGCATTGTGTGTTTGTGTACCCTTTACTGCAGTGTCTGCACTGCAGCGTCCTCTCTTTGTCTTCACTGGAAAATGTGCCACTAGGTCCTTCCGTACATCCAGTGGAGGTTGTGATCTCTTGGATGGGGCCCCGTTTGGTGGACTCCCATCACCTGAGGATGGTCTCTTCTGAGCATTCAACTGGCTCCTTGATGTCACTGTCGCTGCTGGGCTCCCGTTGCCTGAAGATGGTCGTCCTCTCTTGGGTGTTTTCAGAAGAGTTGTGTTCACCTCATTAGAACAGAACCAATCAAGATACATGTCAAAAATACATTAGGATACAAGTCAAAGATATTACAGTGAAATATTACAAATGGCAAATAGCAGAAATGCATTCTTACCAGGATGAGAGAGGATGCTAGATCTGCCTGAAACTGTCTTCTGTTCAGGATCTCCTGCTTTGGCATCTTTAGAGCTTTGCACTCCCGCTTGTAGAGGAGCCAGGCGTTGATCACAGCAAGGATGATGGTGTGCCAGAAGATGTACACGTACCAGCGTCGGGACTTCATGGGGAACTTGTATTTGTCCGTAAACGAGTCCAACAAATCCACGCCTCCCATGTACTTGTTGTAACCAGAAAAGTCAGTATTGGGAC